AAGGGCTGTTTCAATTCCATCAACAATATCTCGGTTTAATTGAACATTATTCTTACAACAAATTTCGGAAGCTTCGTTTTGATCAACAATAAATAACTGTCCAAATGAAGGAGTATCCTTTCTGCATACAAAGATGTATTCATTTGATAATAAACCTGACCATGTATTTTGAAACAATATGGTCCTGGTCGTCTATTGTTAAAATTAACTAAGTTAGCGTTGAAAGAACCAAAACCAAATGAATTATTGTAAGGTCGTATATTATGAAAAAAATGCCCAGATAATTCGTGGGTGCCATCAAATAAATTTTGTAATATGAGTGGAGGAGCAGGTAGATCTTCAAGAATGACTTCGCCATGTTTACAACAATCATGAAATGAATTTTTTTTATTAGATACTCTTTCTGCTTTGAAATGTTTAGCATTACAATGCTCACATGAAATGTTCATCGCACCAGCAAAATGTTCTTCTATATGCGAGACTGAAATACTGTCAGAGAAATTTTGATTCTGTGCAAAATCCCGTTTTTTTGGCTATGAGTTTTTTGATAAGCTACATTTTTTTGACGACCGGAAATATTAGTATTTGCTAAATTTGCTGTAACAGTTACATTATCTTTTGCCAAAGATGTAGTAACAGTTGTAGAGGATTTTTCTGAATTTATATTTGATTTTGACACTGTAATAATACTGTCCTTTGTTTGAAGTGATTGAGGGTTAAGAATTCTATTATTCTCTTGTTTTTTTGTCGAAACTTTCTTTGATAAGCAGCTTTCTTTTGACGTTTCATGACTTGATGTTGTTCTTCTTCCTCTAAAGAACGTATTATTGATCTTTTTTACTTGATTTTCATTTTTTAAATTAGTATATTTTGTAACATTTCTTGAATCATTACAATCATCATTAGTTTTTGATTTTATAAATAATTCACTGTTAACTTTATGTTCACAAAGTTTTACATAAGAATGATCACGTGTAATGTTCATTTCATTACAATATAACCTATCTCTATATGTGACTTTGAAATAATATCAGACTGATTTTGTTTTTGAACAGAAGTATGTTTATTTTGTCGAGAGGTGCGCTTGTAAGTAACACTTCTGTCACGAATTGACGTTTTAACTTTAGAAGTAGAAATATTTTCTTCTGCTGATGATAAAGCTGTAGATGTGCTTTGGGGCCTCGTATTTAAAGTTTGCTCTGCACTAATGAATTCATTAGAATCCAATGATTCAGAGCGAACAATTTTATTATTTTCTCGCTTTTTCTGTCGATATTTTTTTTGATAAGCAGCTTTTTTTTGACGTTTTATGATTTATATTTTCCTCTTCTTTAGAAAAATGAACCATAGCTATTTTTTCTCCTTGCTTCTCAGTTATTATTAATCTTATATCTTTCATTCCATTGCTTGAATCAATAGAAATATTATTAACATCATTTGCTGCAATTAAAGGCAAATCTTCTAAACAACTATCAACAAAATTTTTTTTACAAACATTGCTGGTTGAATTCAGCGATGATAAATTATTGTCAACAATTTTATTTTCTTCATTTTGGAAACTTTTTTCTCTAGCTCGATTCCTAAGAAGACACTCCCAATTATATTCAACAGTCATAGTTCTAATATTAGTCGACCTTACTGACGGAAATTTACTTAAACGATTGTTTTTGAACATTAACATTAAATGATTTCTCATGTTATAATAATAGTAATTGACAGAGTGGGGCATAATATTAAAAAATATCGATGTTGCGAATGCTATTGCATATATTCCACAAGCAAGACTATTGTTTGGTTGTTGATCAACAGTTGTGAAAACTACTGGAGGTTTAAAAGGATATAATCTACTTAAATATTTCCTTTGATCTTCATTTAAACATCCTTCATTAAGACTATCATAAATATAAAGTCTCATTCCATCATAATAAGTGCAAATCCAATGACCTTTCTTGATAGGTCCACTAAAAAGTATTTGAATATGCTTTTTACCTTTTTCAATCGGACTAATAAATTCAAGCGTATAAAAATACAAAGTGCTTTGCATGCTAAAAGCAGAATTTGATTCCCTTCTCAATAATTTTTCGAATTCATCAATATGAGTATCATTTAACATTGCTCCTTTAGTAAGTATAATATTAAAATCTGTAACACTATTAAATTAACAGTTCCTTCTTTGTTCGACATGATTTCTTTCAATTTATTGAAAAGATATCGCTTCTAAAAAATAGTTTTTCATAAAATTAATTAATTCAGAACACATGTAAATAATGTTACTATTGTCACATTTAACAGTAACTGGAATTTTTATCTTATCCTTTCTTATTAAAGATTATTAAGAATGTAAAGAATGTATCTTCATCTATTAATATTATTAATATTATTAAATATAAGTATATTTTTGGTAAATTTTTCTGTTTTGTATCTGTTAATCTAGTATCTGTTAATAGAGTATTTGTTAATCTAGTACCTCTTGACTAAATCTCTGTTTATCAAGTATCTGGTATCTCGTAATCACATGTTATTTTTAGTACATCTTTAATATTCATAAAGTTTTTTCCAAAATAATAACTAACTACCAAAATGTTAAAAAACAAAATGTTAAAAAATCAATAATTAAGATTTAAAAAAACAAATATTAATCAATATTAAATAATAATTATTACCACTATAATATAATTATGTACAAACATCAGAATTTAAAAAATTAATATTCTACATTTAGAAATCAAAATAACAGGCAAATGTCCTTTATTCCTTTAAACTTTAACTTTAAAACTTTAACTTTAATTAAATTAATGTATTTAACTTTAACCTTTAACTTTAATTAATAAAATTAATTAAATCCTTTAAATTAATAAATCAAATAATTCACACATTATATTTACAAACTCTTCCTAATAAATATATATATACAAATAATATTAACAAAGAATTTAATTTGTATTTACATGTATTTTAATTTTAATACTTACGTACGTAACGTATGCAATGTACTTTAACTTTTTTCAAATGTACAAAACCTAGGGAGGGATTCCCTCTACGGTTTCAGTATTTTTTAAATAACTTTTGTTTTCCTCATTGCAAAATAAAATCAGTTTCTATACCTTTCGACAATTTACTCCTCAACACATTTCTAAAAAAACATTTAGTTTAAACATAATTATAATATTTAATTATGAAGCTTCAAAGCCAGAAGAAACTCGAAAAAGTGAGGTTATGTTAAATAAAAAAATCAAGTTTTAAAAACGTTTTTTGTTCCACTGTTGGTTGATGACAAAATTATATTATAAATATAATTAACCACTTCACTGGCGGGGCGTTCCAAATGGCGTTTCACGCGCCGAGGCCCAGACTGGCAAAAACACCGAAATGGCGTTCCTAATAAAACTTTATTTTTAAAGAGTGTACACTACTTTTTACTACTACAAAACAATATTTCTATAGTTTAGACATCAGGGAACAAGATTATCACAATGAAAATTTCAGTTTTTGAGATTTTCAATGTTTCTTCGAACGTTGAAATAGTCGATTTTTAACACTTTTTAACAAATGGCGTTCCACTTTTGTTATTATTAATAATTATTATATTTTATTTATTAATTATTTATATTTATTTTTTACTTATTACATTATTATATTATAATGTTTTGTATGTAAATATATTTTTTAAATAAAAAATATGAGTTTTACTGCGTAAAAATTGAAAAAAAGTGGAACGCCATTTGGTGAAAAGTGGTAAAAATTGACTATTTCAACGTTTGAAAAAACATTAAAAATCCCAAAAACTGAAATTTTCATTGTGATAATCTTGTTCCCTGATGTCTAAACTATAGAAATATTGCTTTGTATAAGTTAAAAGTAGTGTACACTCTTTAAAAATAAAGTTTTATTAGGAACGCCATTTCGGTGTTTTTGCCAGTCTGGGCCTCGGCGCGTGGAACGCCATTTGGAACGCCCCGTCAGTGAAGTGGTTAAAATAAATTGTTTAATGATTTTTTTGCTTATTTGTTAATGTTACATTATTTTTACATGTCGAGTGGAATTTCTTTGAAGATGTGCATTCGTGTAATTAATTTTTATTTTTGAGACCGAAAATTAATTTGATTAATTTTATAATTTAGAATAACCCAGATAACAATCGTGCGTCGCACGTACTCGCATCCAGCATGCGAGTCACCGAATTCACTCACGCAACCTTCACGTAGCCTTCACGCAAGATGAAAAAAATGTGTGCCTGCGTATTGAGTGGCACAGGGGTAGCACTTGTGATACCGTAGTTCATCGCATGCGTGAAGGCGTGGTGTGTGGTGTAACACCCTACAATCGCGTTCTTGTAATAATAAATATTATATTTTTATTAATAATATAATTATTTATAAATAATATATCTTTATATTATTTATAATTTATATATTATAATTTATTTATATTATAATTATTATTATTATTTTATTTATATTATAATTTATTTATTTATTTATTTATAGTATTTATAATTTTTTATTAATATATTTTTTTAAATATTTATATTACAATATTAAACAATACATTTTTAGGTAAATGAAAACAAATAAAACATTTTTAAAAATCAAAAAAACAAATTTTTTTTCTTGGAAAAATTTTTCTGAATAAAATACATCTATATTTTACTTAAGTATTAATTTTTTTAAATAAATAAAATAGTGCAAAGTAAATTTTAATATAATTATATATTTTTATACTAAAAATTTGTATTATTTTTAATGTAATATTATTTCGAACTCATAAAAAGATAAACAGTATGTAAACCCTATACAATTTTTTTTGTGAATAAATACAAAAAATATTTAATAAATTTTTATTAACTCATAAAAATTATAAAAGTGTATTTGTTCGTTTCAAAATGTGCGCAATTTTAATCATGTGATTTTTGTGTGAATTCTGCGCATGTGTCATAGAAGTCGGGCCTCAGTGGTATATATTGCGAGATTGAGTACCTAGCCAAACCTGGACGTGTTTGTTGCAACGTTTTAGACGGCGTCGGTTATCAACAATTATCTAAATTATTTTGAAAAAAAAACATTCCGACTAGACAGAAGTGCAAGTTAATGCGGATTTTTTTTCTACTCAGCTGAGTGTTTCTTTTGGTAAGTCATCATTATATTATAGATTAATCACATTTTATCAAACCTAACCCTAAAAATTTTGCTTCCGGATTTTCTTTCATTTTAGTGAAAAAGATTTTTTCTTTTATTTTATTTGCATCACAAAAAGCATGACATTAAATATAATTTTATATAATTTTCTAAATTGTTTTTATATTCCGGACATGGTTTTAATTATATTTTGTTTGTAATTTCACTATTTCTTTTATTCAGTAGAACCTGTCCGGATTTTCACAAAATTAATTTTTAGTGTTTGTGTTGTTTTAATGGCCTCTTGTATATACATGTAGCATGTACAGGGTTTCCACAGGTCAGGGAAATCAGGGAAAGTAAAATTGGCCAGAGATTTTTAGTTAAAAGTACTGGAAAAAATTGAATTTTTAAAATTCATGAGAAAACTCTGAATTTTGATGTTTTTTTTGTTTGCCTCGTAAACTATGAAATTACTACGAATTTTAATACAAAGCCTTCATTTTTTTCTATTTCTGGCTATAATTTCTTTTTAAATAACTTAATTTTTCAAGAATAATTTTTACAATTTTCATAAATATGTACTAGATTGATAGAAGAATTTTAGTTCAAAATACTAAACAAATTGGATTTTGGAAAAGTTATGATCCTAAAGTTCTGAACGTTCAAATGAACGAAATTTATTTATTTCTTCTTCCAATTAAATTTGTATTGCAATAATTTTGAATTGCAGTAAAAAAGAAATAATTAACTAAAATTTCGGAATGTAAAATTTTAATTTTTAATTTTTACTGCAATTTTTATTGCAAAACTTATGAAAATATTCTTAATAAAAAATATTTCGTTCATTTGAACGTTTAAAACTTGCGGATCATAATGCTTCATCGAAATTCAATTATTTTAATAAATTTTTTAATAAAATTCTTGGTAAAATTTTACAGGAAGTCAATTATTTTCATAAGCAATAAAATTTTCTCAGGAATTCAATTATTTAAAATGCAAAATTTAAAAAAAAATTTTGAAAAATATGAATTTTTAAAAAAGATTTTTATAAAATTCGTCGCAAGAATTCAATTATTTATATAAATAATAAAATTCTTCACAGAAATTCAGTTATGATAAAAAAAATTCTTGTCAAAATTTTAAGTATCTTTATAAATAATAAAATTCTTTTCCAAAATTCAATTATTTTAGAAAAATTTTAATAAAATTCTTGGGAAAATTTAAATTAATTTCATGAATTATAAAACTCATCGCAGGATTATAATTATTTTTGATACAATATTTTAATCGAATTTCTCGAAAAATGTAATTATTCTTAAAAATTTTATTAAAATTTGTCAAAAGAATTGAATTATTTAAAAATTTGTTGTTAAAATTCTTTATGAGAATTGAATTTTAACAAACATTCAATTATTCAATAAATTATTTCTTTTGTAATTTAAATAATTGAATTCTTCTACAATTTTCTAATAAAAATTGTGTTAAAAATAAATTACGGAATAATCGATTTATTATTTATGAAAACAATTGAATTATTGCAATGAATTTTATATATTACATTTTTTTTAATAATTGAATTTTTTTGAGAAATTTTACTACTTGTTAAAATAATTAAATTCTTGCGAAGAATTTCTGTTAACAATTAGCTTTTTTTGAAAAATTTTATGCTAATTTAAATTGAGATTCTGCATGCAACAACTCGCCGAGCGCTTTGGTGAACTCTCTCACTGCCAGTCGAACATAGGAAATGTCAGGGAAATAAAATTAAATATTTGTGGCTACCCTGATGTACTAATTTTTACTGCGTTTCATTTCCGCATTTTCATCATGTATAATATGAAAATGTACATTTTGTATTGTCTTCTAACAGTACAGGTTTTCGTCTAGTATTCATTATAATTGTATTATCAATGAGCGTTTTCCATAATATTTTTAATTTTTGTTTTTTATATTTATAATTCAATTTTATATATTTATTTTATTATTTCTTTTTGATTTCACATTTTTTGTATTTTTTAATAAATGCTTATGTTATATAACAATTTTCGATTCATATTTAATGCCTAAGCAAAAATTTATCGAATTTTGTATATATGCGGTTTAATTTCATTGGTTCTGTAGAAAAAAGAAATGGACCCATTTTGTCGGTCCTTTGCAAAAGTATTCCGTATTTTCAAAATTGAGGGGGGGGGGATTTCAAATCGGTTGGGTTTTCATCTTTATGGTGCCCTGGACTAGAAAAATTCTTATCTTCTCTCTAAATCTGAATTAGTAAAAATGTTCACTAATTTGAATTAGTGACTGACTTTTTGCTTTTGAATTAGTAAATTTTACTAATAAATTAGAGAAATAACTATTTAATAGTAAAATTTACTAATTCAAAAAGTCAGTCACTAATTTGAATTAGTTAACATTTTTACTAATTCAAATTTAGAGAGTGAATAATAATCTTTAATCCCGTTTTTCTCAAAATGAGGTTTTTGTATTCATTTAATTATATATTGTCTATTTTATTATTATTACAAAATACATTCTAAACTTTAAAATTCTGTAACTCGTCGAATTTTTTCAATTTTGCAAGGAATTCGCCCTTCTTGATAAGTCCAATAGTGCCAAAATGGGCCCTTTTCATGTGGACGTTCACATATTTTTAAGTTAATGGTGTAAGTTGGTCGAAATATGGGAGGTTCTTGGTCGTGTGTAAAACTATCAAATAATCTAATTATGGTGAAATGTTATAATTTTTAACTTCAAGTAACTTTTTTAAGTAACTTCATTCTACTTAAACGTTTTAAGTGCTCTTTTCTAATTTTAAATATTTTTCTTACTGAAGGAAATGTAGAATAAGAAAAATTGCTTTAAAATCATGCAAGTTAATTAACTTTAAGTTATACATTAAGTATTTCAATCGGCGCTGTTAAATATGTAGTTATTTTATTTTTTATGGAAAATGAAGAAACATGTTGTTTTTCAGTGACAACTTTAATAACTTTATTTTTTATTAAAAAAACGATATTTTTTTCGTCACTTAAATGTACAATTTTAAATATATTGACCTGCATGTTTTGAAAACTGTTAAAGTTAATAAAATACTTTATATTCTATTTTGCATTATTTCAGGGTTGCCACGGGTTAAGGGAAATCACGGTAAAGCCGAAGAATATTATTGAAAGTACTAAAAAATGTCTCAGAAATTGAAATTCTTCGAAAATTTTGTGTTTTGAAAACTTTAATTCAAATGTCTACTTTTGTAAAATATTGTCCTGTTTATTAAAATTGCAAACTTTAAAAAAAAATTTGAACTTTCTTTTTAAGGTCAAATAGAAATCAACATTTGAATTGGAAATCATGGAAAAATGCAATAAAATTTTTGTGGCATCCCTGAATTTGGAAACGGCATGAAATTCACTTTTACATATTTCATTTTTTCTCCTTCTATACTCCTTGAATTAAAATTAAAATTTCTAGAATGTTTTGAGTTTTCGTGTATCTAATTGCACTATTATATTTTAGTCTATTTATGTAGAAAAATGCTTAAATCGTCACCTTAGTCTCTTCTGCTTACGTAAAACAATTTCTAATTACTGTTAACAGGATTAAATATACCGAAAAATTATGTCTGAAAAGTTTAAAGGATTGTTTGAACTTAGCCGCAGACAAAAAAGGAGAAGATTAAATACAATTATTGAGAATAAACTCAACATCGATGAACGTGCATTGCAGGATGAAGAGCAAATTATAGCAAATGATGATAATGGTTTTCATGGTGGTGGACAAGGTGTTGCAGATCAACGCGATGTTGATGATGTTGATGATGACGATGGTGATGATGTCGATGGGGGTGACGATGTCGATGGGGGTGACGATGATGATAGTGGTGATGATAGTGTTGATAACGCTGGTGATGACGATGATGATAGTGGTGATAAAAGTGTTGTTAACGATGGTGATGATTATGATGACAATAACGATGCTGAAGTTGGTGGCGATAGTGTTGATAATATTAATGAATTAAATGCTTCAGAAGATGAAAATGAAGGAAATAATTATCAGGATAATGCTGTTAATCTACAAAGAAGAGCTTTAAAAAATGCCTTTTTATCAGCAAACTTAAAGCACAGCCAAGGAAATATATTACTCACTACATTGCACCAATTCCCTTTCAACTTAATTGAACTACCGCAAGACTCGAGGACACTTTTAAACACGACGACTGTTGTTGCCAGTACAAGAATCCAAAATATATGTGGAGGTCAATATTTGCATATTGGATTCAAAAAGACTTTGATAAAAAAATTAGAAAGTATTCCTGTTAATTTGTGGCCGGAGTTTTTAGAAATTGATTTTAGCACGGATGGTGCTAAAGTAGACAAAGGCCCACAACAATTTTGGCCTCATCAGTACAGAATATTTAATATCGCTGATAAACGACCAATACTAGCAGGGATTTTTCAAGGACAACATAAACCAACTAATCCTTTTGATTTTTACGACGAATTGATCCAAGAAATTTCGGAAATACGGCGTGAAGGTGGCATACTAATAAGGAATCGACGTTTACCTTTAACATTACGATGTTTTATTGCCGATGCACCGGCAAGAGCTTTTGTCTTAAACCATTATGGACATAATTCTGCTGATCCCTGTTCTAAGTGCAAAGTAGAAGGTCGTCGATGTTTAAATGATGGTTTTCAAGGAACAATGGTTTTTCCAGGCAATGAGCACGCAGGTCGAACAGATGATGATTATAGGAATGTTACTGATGAAGATCATCAAAAAGGCAGATCTCCTTTGGCTGATGTTTTGCCTATAGTAACTCGAGTTCCATTTGAAATAATGCATTGTGTTTATCTTGGAAATGTTAAGAAATTGTTATCAGCACAAATTGAAGGAAAATTTGGATTCTGCAGACTATTAAGAAGGAAAAGGGATGTACTTGATGCAAGAATGGAAGAACTTAAATTATATTGTCCATCAGACTTTAATCGGCAACCACAAAAATTAACCAACTTCAGTAATTTCAAAGCTACAGAATTGCGACAATTTATACTTTATACTGCTCCTGCAGTTGTAAAAGATATCTTCGGTGAAGAATACTACCAGCATTTAATGATTTTGCATGCAATTATGCGTCTCTTGGAATCTGAAGAAACTCTACAAGACATGTTTCCTTTTTGCAGAGAAGGTTTAAAACAATATGTGAGTTTGTGTGAGTTGTTGTATGGTGAACAATTCCTTTCATATAACATTCATTGTTTGCTTCATCTGGTAGACGATCGTGAAGTTCTCGGCCCTTCAGAAACACATAGCGCATTTTGTTATGAAAATAATTTGCAAGAACTGCGCAAATATATACGGAAACCAGACTTAAAACTACCTCAAATTTACAAGAGAATTTCGGAAAGAGAAGATTATGCCCTAACACCTCTTGACCATAATATACGAATTCAATTATCACTCAGACATAACGATGGTCCTCTACCAGAAGACATTAATGCAAACCATTGCCAACAATTTAATAAAGTAGAAATTGGAAAATGTGTACTTTCTACAGCACTACGCAACAGCTGTTGTTTTTTACAAAATAAGAAAATATGCATTATAAGAAACATTATTCAACAAGAAAATCAAATTCGATTAATTGTCCAACAATTTCAATCAACTGGCGAGCTTTATGAAGCAGGAATATCCTCTGTCTCTGTAGATATCTATCATTGTACAAATTTACAAGATAGTTTGACAACAATTCAATTAAGAGACATTAAATGTAAAATGTATATCATGCCAAAATGGAGTAACGTAAAAGATCAAGAAGATATCGTTGTTCAAAATGAATGGATATGTGCATCATTATTATCACCGTTTCATTTACCTGACAATATAAATATACTATAAAGCCCCTCAAAACAACTTGTCGAATTCTTTAGAAGGAACATGCAATTTATGCAGTAAGTTTCTTGTTTTACCGAAGTGTAAACTAAATTTAATTTTATTGAAATTTTTTCTTAAGTAAAAAGTTATTAAACATTCTTGTTATAAAAATATCTAAAAAAAAGAAGCGTTAACTTTCGCGCTACTAACGATTTTTTATAACGCGGACTCCGATGCGGTCACCCGGAATGACCAAATATCTTTTTTATATTTTTTCATATAATAAATAAACGTTTTTATTTAAGTACTTTTATATTTTAAACCACACTAATAAATAAGTTATAAAATTTTTGTTAAGAAATATTAAAAATCATAATTTTAATCGAATATTATTCATTTCGCTGCGTATAAATTCTCAAGCTATGACATGGTTGCCACACAACCTGCAAAACCTAGAAATAGCATGGAATTTGAACGAATTTCTGGAATTTTTTTGGGTTAATGAAAAATTCCATTCAACATGTTATTTTCCTTTAAAAATGTTAACATGCAATTTTCCTTTTCCATGATATCTTCTCTTTAAATTAATTTAATTTTTTTTTAATTATTGACTAAAACTGTAAAAAATGTTGTTAAGATTGTTCTAAAAAAAGGATTTTATATCTTTATTAGTATTACGATTGTCAAAATTTTTTGTTACTAGTTGCATTTTGTTTAAGATTTTGAACAAAGTTTAAAGATAAAAATTATTTAATTCAGACATGACTTCAATGTTCTAATTATGGCTGATTCTTCTGAAAGTGAAATTTTTGATATCTCGATTACTTTTATAGAATCTACTCTCTAATAATATTATTAACCATTTTCATAGTAAAAATTTATAATTTATAATTTATGAGAGAACTAAATTTTTATGGTTTTTTTAAACTCTTAGAAATTTTTTAAAAATAGTGCCAAAAAATAAATATTTAAATTTTACATATTAGCCCGAGTAAAATTCAAAGAAAAAAGACTTTAATATATTCAAATTAATTTTGCGAAACTTAAATTCTTACTTTTGAGTATTAAATAAAGTAGTTTCAATAGAAAAAAACATATAATTTAAAAAAAAATAAATTGAAAAATCGAATATCAAAAGTATCACTTTCAGAAAAATAAACATAAAAATGACAGTGATTTTAACTGTTTAAGAGAACTTTAATTTATAATTACATAATAATGAATATTGTTAACACTGTTTTGTAAAATACTTGTTTTTTCATCACAAATAATTCATAAATTTGAACCTGGAATTTTTAATATTTTAAACCTGGAAAAAGCCTGGAATTTTGAAATCTAGATTTTGTGGCAACCGTGTATGAAGTCTAACAAGAACGTTATTAAAAATTTGTATATTATTTTGAAGACAAAAATCTATTTCAAATTCTTTCAAAGAAAAATTCCGTTTACTGCAATAAAATTTTAATAAAGAATATTAAATTTGTAGTCTACTGAAATTAAGAAATATGGGATATTTTAATTGATACAATTGTTATGTATGTATATAGACAAGATAATGGATAGATTACTGCAAAGGCGAAGCGAAAAGCATCCTCCCAAAAATTCTAGTAGTGGAAGAAGTATAAATGTCCCTTTAAGACTTGTATCGTCGTCAGATGAGGGGCCTCCAAAAAAGAAGACGAAAAAACAGTTGGAGGTTGCAGAATCGTTAAAACAAATGAAAGCACAATTACAAAATATTGAAAATCGAAGATCATTAACACTCGGAGATAAATCAAATTTCAACTTGTAAGTACAAAAAAATTAAAATTTTTAAGAAATATGTTCAAATTAATAATTTCTGAATCCATTTTTGATCTACCTTATGTGATATTAATTCTTGTTATGTTATTTCCGTAATCTGACAAATGTTATGTCTCTATCAATTTAAGAAAGTATCAAACTAATCAATTATTTATTTATCAGAGTGAATCCTAATGAGTCAAGTTTTGTTTCTCAACATCACTGTACTTCTCTCATCGTGAAAATAATAATAATAATAATAATAATAATAATCCCCGCCGATGGTTGTCCACTACCGAACATCATCGATGTCTTTGACGTACTGGGAGAAGCGGATCCACTGCCAAATATCATTGGTTTCTTTGATGTGCTGTGAGAAGTGGATCCACTGCCGAACATCATTGATTTCTTTGATGGGCTGGGAGAAGTGGGTCCGCTGCCAGACATGATTGATTTCTTTGATGAGTTGGGAGAAGTGGGTTCGCTGCCAGACACGACTGGCATCTTGGATATGTTCGGTAGACCTTGCCGTGGTGGCGGGGCTTTTCACTAAAGGACAACCAACAGGGTGGTACCCTGATTCTAAAACCAAAAAAAAAAAAAAAAATGATTATGAATCATAATATAAATGAATTACCCCAAGGAGGAACCCCGAAAGGGGACAATACTCCCGACGGTGTCTCTTCGAACACCGCCGCAGGCCCCACGGATTTTGGGGGGGGCCAAAACAATAATCAGCCGATAATATATGAGACAAATGTCTCAGACCAGTTCCTGGCTATTCCGGGAATCTTCAAAAGCTTGCGCCAGGGATTCAAGCGCCAAAAGAACGTCAGTCGGGAAATCCAGGATGGCATGACGGTTTTGGAAGGTGCGTTTGAGATAATCTGTAGGAATTTACGTTTTATCCCCAAGCCTTTCATAGACCAGGAGCCGCAACACCCAACTGTGGTAGCTCCACAGCAGACGGAGAGCACTACTGCACCTCTGAACGGCGCAAAAAAAAGTCCTAATAAGGCAAAAGGCGTTAATAAACGCCCCAGGGAAGGTACAAGCCCAGATGCGAGTCCGCGACGGGCGACTCAAGGCGGGAAGAGAATTAAGCGAAAGGAGGCTCCACAGCTTGGTTCTGAGTCGCTGGTTGGAGCAAGAGAGGCGCCCTCAAACAGTCCTGGCAAGTCGTATGCTGAGACCGTCTTGAGGGACGGAGCGGACAATGGAGACGGTTTCAAGGTTGTTAAAAACAAGGAGAAACGGACTCCAAAAGAGAAACCCTCAGGTGAGAAAAAGGAGCTTCCGAAGCCCCCTTTGAAGCTAAGGAGCACGGAAGCTGTTAAAATTACGGCAAGCGACCCAAAGTTTTATGAGGGTATCTTGCCGCTAATAAAAGCAAAGGTAAACCCAGAAGATACGGGTACCGTGATCCGGAAAATCAGGAGAACTTTTAAACAGGAGGTTCTCGTGATAGTAAAAAGGGGCGGAGAGACCTTAAAGTTTGCAGATGCACTGTCTTCGGCCCTGCATGGTAAAGCTGAGGTCACACCTCTAGTGAATAAAAGGTCTCTAGAGATTAAGGATTTGGACGAAGCCACCTCAGAGGATGAGGTAAATGCAGCACTAAGAGAAAAGCTGGGTAAACCTGACCTGAAGATGGAGTGTCGACTTTTGCCGCGCTACAGAGGAACTAAGGTTGCTCTAGTACGTCTGACAGAGGCAGAAAGTAATACTCTGCTAAAGCTTGGTAAAATAAAAATCGGATGGATAAATGCTCCAATTCGCAAGAATGTTGAAGTAGCTAGGTGCCAAAAGTGCCTAGCATACGGACACTTAACCCGAACCTGCAAAGGCCCCGACAGAAGTAAAAACTGTCGGAGATGCGGCGGAGAGGGACACCTCGCGAAGAGCTGTAAAGTTAAGCCGAAGTGCCTTACGTGCTTGGACCTGGGGAAGCCAGAGACGGATCACGATTCCGGAAAGAGAGCCTGCCCGGTTTACAGAGAAGAACTGCAAAAGATTAAAAGGGCAAATCCTTAAAATTTTTGCAGGTCAACCTGCATACAAGAAAGGATGCACAGTTGCTCCTAATGCAAACAGCAAGGGAAAATGAGGTCGATATCCTGTTCTGCAGTGAGCAGTATCAAGGAAGCGACCTCGCCCCTTGGTATCAGGATAAGGCGAAAAGAGCCGCCATAAAGCTGTGCAACCCAGAATTGCGGGTTGACAAGTTTCTGGAGACGAGCAGTGGGTTCGTGTGGATAGAGGTAGCTAATATACGTATGTATAGCTGCTACTTCTCACCCAACGACCCACTGACAAACTTCGAAGCCAATATCGAAGACCTAGAAGCGAGCCTCACAGAATCCAGGCTGGATGTCATCATCACTGGCGATTTTAACGCAAAGTCGCCAGAGTGGGGTGAGACGAGACTCGACAAGAGAGGAATTCGTATTGTAGGAATGATCTCCAGAAACGACTTATTGGCTGTAAACCGAGGCAATACATGGACTTTTAGAAGAGGTGCGATCGGATCAATTATAGATCTAACGATCGCATCGTCTAAACTATTTAGCCGCATAACCGACTGGCGGGTCTCTGAGGAATATACCGCAAGTGACCACCAGTACATTGAGTTCTCAGTCTCGATGGGAGACACACGAGGAGGAAAAAGACAGGATGTTCCTAGTCGCAAAACCTCCTCGTGGAATATGAAGAGACTCGACAAGGAAAAGTTCGGCCGGTCCCTAAGAGAAGCCCTTTTAATTGAGGACTTGGGCTGGGTGAAGAGGCCGAGCAATCTGGATGGGGAGGTGCGAGCGGTGAGGAACATGATAGTCACCGCTTGCAATGCGTCAATGCCACGCAAAGGCGCCACTCCCGTAAGAAAATCCTTGCACTGGTGGTCAGAGGAGCTAGCCTCCTTGAGAAAGGAATGCCTCAAAGCAAGAAGGACATATACCCGATCTAAGGGAGATCCCTTGCTGAAAGAGGCTTTCAAGGAGGCGAAAAAGAACCTCAAGAAAGAGATCCGGAAGTCGCGACGCCATAGCTGGAAGGACCTAATCGAGGAAGTCGATAAGGACCCATGGGGACTGGCTTTTAAAATCGTAACTAAGAAATTAGTGACGAGGCAAAAGACCCCCGGCCTGGACAATCCCGATTGGGTCAGAAAGATAATAAGTTCTTTGTTTCCTCCTGCGGAGCCATACCTTAGAAGGGACTGGAGTTTTTGCAAAGTCGAAGAGGAAGAACTATTCACACTTAGTGAACTGCAAAAAGCAGGCAAAAGATTGAAAACAGGCAAGGCGCCTGGAATCGATGGGATAAGTAACGAGATCCTAAAGTTGGTAATCGACACTTCACCCCAGATTCTGCTTCGATGCTTCAATCTTTGCCTTGAGAGAGGAGAGTTCTTCCGCGACTGGAAGCGACAGAGGTTAGTCCTCCTAAGGAAAGGTGAAAAACCTCTAGATAAGGTTTCATCGTACAGGCCTATATGCCTGCTAGATACGATGGGTAAACTTCTAGAGGATATGGTTCTGCAGAGAATGCAAAGCCACTTGACCGAAGAGAATCGTCTATCCGATCACCAATTTGGTTTCCGTAAAGGCAAGTCCACGGTTGATGCCATCCAGGCAGTTGTGGACATAGCCAAAGCAGGAAAAAACAAATTGGGACCTGGGAAAAAGAAGAGCTTCTGCGCGTTGGTAGCAATTGACATACGCAACGCGTTTAATTCCGCAAGATGGAAAGATCTCATCGAGTCGATGGAAAAGAAAAACATGCCGCCCTACTTGTTGCGGATAATGGATAATTATCTTAGCGACAGGTGGGTTATATATGAGGGAGACACCTGCACTCTCAAGGAAGAGATGCAGCGTGGGGCTCCTCAAGGCTCGAGGGTGGGTCCATTTGTATGGAATGTATCTTACGATGATTTTCTGCGAATGGATCTGCCCGAAGGTGCGGTGATCATCGGCTTTGCGGACGACGCGTTATTCGTGTGCACTGCCGAAAGTGAGGAGGCTCTTGGGACATTGGTGAACGAATGTCTGCGACTAGCAAAAAGCTGGCTGGATACCAGAGGTCTTGAAATGGCCCTGGAAAAGACCGAGGCACTGCTGGTCACAGACAGACGTGGTTATGAGCTCCCACGAATCGTGATAGACAGATTCGAGGTCAAGTGGAGTAAACAAATTAAATACCTTGGTGTGGAGTTAGATAGAAGGTTAAACTTCCACCACCACATGGCTACGGCGTCAAATAGGGCGATCGAGTGTGCGGCTAATCTTTCACGGCTAATGCCAAATGTTGGCGGACCCCGTGAACAAAAAAGAAGACTGGTGGCGAGTGTCGCCCACGCTAAAATGCTCTATGCAGCACCAGCGTGGGCCCCATCCCTGAGGAGTAAAAGATGTGTGACCATCTGTGAAAAGATACTGTCAGCGCAGAGATCGATAACAACGCGTATCATCTCTGCATATAAGACGGTATCTACGAGTGCTGTGCAGGTCCTTGCAAGTGTCCCGCCAGCAGATCTTTTGGCGAGGGAAAGGGAAGAAATGTTTCTCTTTTCTAAAGAAAGCAGTTCCTTGAATGAGGAATTAAGACCAAGCAAGGGCCTGATCCGCAAAGAAGCGAGGCACAGGCTCATAGAAAGATGGCAAGAAAGATGGGATGGTGAGGAAAAAGGTCGATGGACTTATCGCCTTATCCCGGCACTCGCCACCTGGATAAATAGGAAACACGGTCAGGTTTCCTATTACTTGACTCAGGCGTTCACAGGTCACGGGTGTTTTAACTCGTACCTGTGTCGCTTTAAATTACGCGAGAACGAGGTGTGTGCATATTGCCAGTTCCCTGAGGACAACGCGGAGCACACCCTCTTCTCATGCAAGAAATGGGACTTGGAGAGGCGGGCCATGTTCGAAGGTGTAAACAGTCAAGTTACACTGGAGAACATGGTATCGCTGATGACCCAGTCAGAGGAGAATTGGCGGCAAGTCGAGAACTTCATAATCTTGGTTATGTCGAGGAAGGATCTCGACGGCCGCCAAAAAGCGTAATTTAAACAGCTTTCAATTTATTCGTTTGTTTTTTATTAATTTATTTTGTGATTTATTTGTCCTTATACAATTTTAATTTATTCCGTTTTATGTTTTTAATATTATATACGCGTTTTTTTTTTTTTTTTTTTTATATCCGTTTGCAATTTTATCTTTTGACTGTTTACACTTGATTAAACATTTTTTTTATTATTGTTGTGCTGTTAATTCCGCTTTTATATTGAAATAGTTTTAAATTTTTAACTATTAACGCAGGATAACCGCAGAGAAAAGCAGAAAGTCGCATTAGCGACAGAGTCGGGGCGCCACCCTCGAAGGCTAAAGTCTTACGACAGTTCCGAGGGAGGGTAAAGGGCTCCAAAAGAAGGGTTACGGGTTTTAGTGGGTCGGGCTGGTAGTAGGTCGCCAGTTTGTTAAATTTATTATAACATTTATTTTTCTTTTTTTTTATATTTCTTTTTGTTTTTTTATCATACCAACCCCACATAACCTTGGAGTGCGGAATCCAAGGTATCTGTAGGCAGATTTCCCAAAAGTCCCTAAGCAAAAAAAAAAAAAAAAATAATAATAATAATAATAATAATAATAATAATAATAATAGTAATAATAATAATAATAATAATAATAATAATAATAATAATAATAATAATAATAATAATGACGTGCTGGGAGAAGCGGATCCACTGCCAAATGTCATTGATTTCTTTGATGTACTGGGAGAAGTGGACCCACTGCCGAACATCATTGATTTCTTTGATGGGCTGGGAGAAGTGGGTCCGCTGCCAGACATGATTGATTTCTTTGATGAGTTGGGAGAAGTGGGTTCGCTGACAGACACGACTGGCATCTTGGATATGTTCGGTAGACCTTGCCGTGGTGGCGGGGCTTTTCACTAAAGGACAACCAACAGGGTGGTACCCTGATTCTAAAACCAAAAAAAAAAAAAAAATGATTATGAATCATAATATAAATGAATTACCCCAAGGAGGAACCCCGAAAGGGGACAATACTCCCGACGGTGTCTCTTCGAACACCGCCGCAGGCCCCACGGATTTTGGGGGGGGCCAAAATAATAATCAGCCGATAATATACGAGACAAATGTCTCAGACCAGTTCGTGGCTATTCCGGGAATCTTCAAAAGCTTGCGCCAGGGATTCAAGCGCCAAAAGAACGTCAGTCGGGAAATCCAGGATGGCATGACGGTTTTGGAAGGTGCGTTTGAGATAATCTGTAGGAATTTACGTTTTATCCCCAAGCCTTTCATAGACCAGGAGCCGCAACACCCAACTGTGGTAGCTCCACAGCAGACGGAGAGCACTACTGCACCTCTGAACGGCGCAAAAAAAAGTCCTAATAAGGCAAAAGGCGTTAATAAACGCCCCAGGGAAGGTACAAGCCCAGATGCGAGTCCGCGACGGGCGACTCAAGGCGGGAAGAGAATTAAGCGAAAGGAGGCTCCACAGCTTGGTTCTGAGTCGCTGGTTGGAGCAAGAGAGGCGCCCTCAAACAGTCCTGGCAAGTCGTATGCTGAGACCGTCTTGAGAGACGGAGCGGACAATGGAGACGGTTTCAAGGTTGTTAAAAACAAGGAGAAACGGACTCCAAAAGAGAAACCCTCAGGTGAGAAAAAGGAGCTTCCGAAGCCCCCTTTGAAGCTAAGGAGCACGGAAGCTGTTAAAATTACGGCAAGCGACCCAAAGTTTTATGAGGGTATCTTGCAGCTAATAAAAGCAAAGGTAAACCCAGAAGATACGGGTACCGTGATCCGGAAAATCAGGAGAACTTTTAAACAGGAGGTTCTCGTGATAGTGAAAAAGGGCGGAGAGACCTTAAAATTTGCAGATGCACTGTCTTCGGCCCTGCATGGTAAAGCTGAGGTCACACCTCTAGTGAATAAAAGGTCTCTAGAGATTAAGGTTTTGGACGAAGCCACCTCAGAGGATGAGGTAAATGCAGCACTAAGAGAAAAGCTGGGTAAACCTGACCTGAAGATGGAGTGTCGACTTTTGCCGCGCTACAGAGGAACTAAGGTTGCTCTAGTACGTCTGACAGAGGCAGAAAGTAATACTCTGCTAAAGCTTGGTATAATAATAATAATAATAATAATAATAATAATAATAATAATAATAATAATAATAATTCCGTGCCCGGTTGGAACTTTTGTTCTAATTGGAACTTTTGTTCTACCCGGGGCGCATTAGAACCTGTTCTTTTGCGCGGGGTTGCTGGTCCTCTATCGGACGCGTGCCAGGTGGCGGATAGGTTAGCTTCCTAGAAATAGGTGGTATCGAGGAAATCAAATACTCGACGCGGACCAAAACCAGCAAACAAGAAACATCCATCATGAGCGATTGTAAAAACGAGGAAGAGTACCTGCGGGGTAATGCTACGGCTAAATCCCTCACTGGTTCCGATCGTCAAGCGCTTTCGAGCGTGAGGGCGGTGGCCAGTGGCCCAAGGATGCAGGAGGGCAACAACGCGTTGGTAGTGCCACAGATCATCGTGGACAGGTCGGAGAGACGAGGGAGTACGAGCAGCGTGACGAGTCAAGCCAGCTGCATTTCTGTCTTCAGTAATGCCTCGGCAAAGGACATTGCAAGCTGCAACCAAGATCGAGATGAATGCGTTAAGCTGCGGGAGGAAGAGGCAGCGAGCATTCTAGAAATGGAGGAGGAGGTCAGCAAGATGCTGAAGTCCTGTGAAGTCCAGAAGAATGTCAATAGGACAATCAAGGATGGACTCAAAAGCTTAACATCGCTCATAAGGGACGTAAAGGAGAAGCACGCAGCAGCTACGAAAAAGGACGAGAGTTTCTACCAGGGTTTGACCTGGTCTGAAGAAGCTAGACAAGATCGCAGAGCTAGACGAGATCGCTGTAACGCGATCGTGTTGAGAAACGTCGTCTTGGATGCTCAGAAGCGGAAGAGAAGTGATCCTGAGCCTGCGAAGGATCCAAAAAGGAAAAAGGAGGAGAAACCAAAAAAGACTGGAGGCAAGGGGAACAAAACGGTTCCAAAGCCAGACCAGGTCAAGAAGGGAAGAGCCACAGTGATCGTTAAAGTGGCCGAAGGAAAGACTTTCGCTGAAGTGCTGGCGAAGGTTCGAAGGGAGGCTGACCTGGAGGCCAGCCAGACAAGGGTTGTGGGAGCTTTACCCACTAAAAAGGGAGACCTTCTCATTAAAATTGGAGGGTCTTCAAACAAGAAACTGTTCACCGAGGAGGTGACAAAGGTGATCGGCGATTTGGGTAAGGTGCAGATGGCGGATCGGCGAACTACGCTGGAAATCCGCGACATGGATGCCCTTACTGAGAAGAAAGATGTTGAGGATGCCCTGGAGAAAGTTTCCACAGTTCCAGCTGGAAGCAGAAAGGTGACGGTCCTTGGGCCAAATAAGCGAGGAGTGAAACTCGCTGTTGTGGTCACCAGCCAGGAAGATGCTGATAAGCTGGAGAAGGTGGGTCACGTAAAGATTGGATTCGTGTCCTGCAGGATCAGAAGTAGAGCGATGGTCAAAAGGTGCCATAGGTGTCTTGACTATGGTCATATAGGTCGAGACTGCAATGCAGTAGATAGGTTGGCTGCGTGCTTTAAGTGCGGAGAAGCCGGCCATAAGGCAGCAGACTGTAAGAAGAGCCCATGCTGCTTCTTATGCAAGGAGAAGTTCGGCGAAAAGGAGAACATCCAACATGTCGCCGGATCAGGGAGTTGCAAGGTCTTCAGAACTGCCCTCGAGGAAGCAAAGAAGACTTTGTCAAGGACAAGGAGAAAATAAGGCCAGAACAAGAGCGGCACGGGAGAGTTGCGCCAGCGACTACATGGAACCATTCATCTACGAAGTCTGAAGCCACTAGGTAGTTCCGTAGGTGGATAGAAGGTTCGAAACCCAGGGGAAACAAGAAGAGGTTTTAGTCGGTAGGGTGACTGCCGTTAAAAGCAGGTATGTGAGGTTTCTTTTTTTTTCCTTGCATTTTGTACGAGTCCGACATACCCCAGGTAAGTGGGATCTTCCTGGGGATGCGTAAATGCATTTCCTCTTCTCCCCCGTGAATAAAAAAAAAATAATAATAATAATAATAATAATAATAATGATAATAATAATAATAATAATAATATTATAAAATATCGAAAGAAAAATAGTCTTAAAGATAATATTAAATATGTTATAAGTTATATATAAATAATAATATTTTATTCTATACCCCAGTAGCACGTAATGTTCCAGTAACATTGGCAACATTGAGGCAATATTGGTAATGCTAAGGCAGTGTTCTTAATATTGCTGTAATATTACGTGCTACTGGGGTATACTTTTATCAATAAGAAAAAAGTCAATGCGGTAAACAATTAAACGTAATGCAAATCTTATTTTCTTCATAAGATTGATAAATAATTAAAAGAAATCCTTTTACAATTTTGAAAATATTTTTAAAAAAATTGTAGTTTTTTATAACGTTTATAACTTTAGAGCAATTCCACGCCAAGTGATCATAAGAATTTTCGATGATTTTAGCAATATTAAAAATACTTTCAGAATTTGTTCCTTTTTATGCATGGAATAAAAGTGTATAAACCTGAAGATACAGGCACCGTGGTACAGAAAATCAGGAGAACTTTTAAACAGGAAGTTCTCCTGATAGTGAAAAAGGGTGGAGAGACCTTAAAATTTGCAAAAAGTCTGTCCTTGGCCCTGCATGGCAGGGCCGAGGTCATACCTCTTGTAAATAAGAGGTCTCTAGAAATCAGAGACCTGGATGAAGCCACTACAGAGAGTGAGGTGACTTCAGCATTGGAAGAAAAGCTGGGCAAGTCCGACCTGCCTATAGAGTGCAAATTACTGCCGCGCTACAAAGGAACTAAGGTTGCTCTAATCCGCTTGGCAGAAGCAGAAAGTGACATTCTGCTTATACTTGGCCGAATCAAAATCGGCTAGATAAATGCTCAAATTCGCGAGCATGTTGAAGTAGCTAGGTGCCAAAAGTGCTTAGCCTATGGACACTCTACCCGAACCTGCAAAGGCCCCGACAGAAGTAAAAACTGTCGGAGATGCGGCGGAGAGGGACACCTCGCGAAGAGCTGTAAAGTTAAGCCGAAGTGCCTTACGTGCTTGGACCTGGGGAAGCCAGAGACGGATCACGATTCCGGAAAGAGAGCCTGCCCGGTTTACAGAGAAGAACTGCAAAAGATTAAAAGGGCAAATCCTTAAAATTTTTGCAGGTCAACCTGCATACAAGTAAGGATGCACAGTTGCTCCTAATGCAAACAGCAAGGGAAAATGAGGTCGATATCCTGTTCTGCAGTGAGCAGTATCAAGGAAGCAACCTCGCCCCTTGGTATCAGGATAAGGCAAAGAGAGCCGCCATAAAGCTGTGCAACCCAGAATTGCGGGTTGACAAGTTTCTGGAGACGAGCAGTGGGTTCGTGTGGATAGAGGTGGCTAATATACGTATGTATAGCTGCTACTTCTCACCCAACGACCCACTGACAAACTACGAAGCCAATATCGAAGACCTAGAAGCAAGCCTCACAGAATCCAGGCTGGATGTCATCATCACTGGTGATTTTAACGCAAAGTCGCCAGAGTGGGGTGAGACGAGACTCGACAAGAGAGGAATTCGTATTGGCGAAATGATCTCCAGAAACGACTTATTGGCAGTAAACCGAGGCAATACATGGACTTTTAGACGAGGTGCGATCGGATCAATTATAGATCTAACAATCGCATCGTCTAAACTATTTAGCCGCATAACCGACTGGCGGGTCTCTGAGGAATATACCGCAAGTGACCACCAGTATATTGAGTTCTCAGTCTCGATGGGAGACACACGAGGAGGAAAAAGACAGGATGCTCCTAGTCGCAAAACCTCCTCGTGGAATATGAAGTGTAACGTGAATATTTTGCACGTTACATCCGAGTCAAGTTTTTTTTGAGTATAAAATTTAGAGAAATTCCAGCTCTCCTTTTGGACACTTTCTGCGAAAATCTCTGCTCCGCGACTCGACCACGATTAAATTATGATTTATTCTATTCTTGTTTACTGCCCTGCTTTATTTTTTTTTATGTTTGCCACGAGCGATTCTCTTTATGGATTTGTGCTGTGAGACCCGAAGGAGGAACGATTTTGGATTTTGAGAGACTGACTGTTCAACCTCACATTACACTGGCTGTTCGATGCTCTGTATGGCTGTTCGATGCCGCACAATTACACTTTTGACAATCTTGGCTGTTTGACGCCGACCATTTGGCTGTTTGATGCCGACCTTTTGGCTGTTTGATGCCGTACTTTGAGCAATCCACGCTCATTTTATTTTGCTGCTCGAAGCTGCATTTGGGACGTATGCCGCCCGATTTTAACCTCCAGTCGTGTCAGCTCTGTTTATTCGCTGGACACGTGGATGCTGTTTTGCGTTTGGTTTTGGACCAAGCCTTTTATTGTTTGATGTTTTGACACACACACACACTCACATTCATGTGGAAGGACACTTCCTCTGGTCACCGCCACCAATTGTCGTTGGATGTTCCAACTAATTTGTCAACTTTGACCGAGTTGGCCGTTTAAGATCGAAAGCCTTGATCTGATTGGTTCCCGTCTTTTGGAATACTGTCTCTCTTTCCAATCTATCGTTCCGCAATTAAAGAAGAGTTCCTGATCGTCGTCTTTGTAAATCGCTCGTTTAAATTCGCTTAAACTCTTTAAAAACTAATTTTGCTTTGCTTTCGCTCTAATTTTGCTTTTGTTTTGTATTTTAGTTAGTTTGAATATGCTTGCTATTTTGAAAATTTAACTTCGCGTTAACCTAATTTTACCAATTAGTTTAGTAAAATTGTTAATTTGGCATTAATTATATTAACTGTTGAGATTTTGATTTCGCTTATTTTGAGTATTGCTTTGAATCTTGTTATCGCTATTATTGTTATGTTATTTCATCGAAAATAAGATTTTCTATGTTATTTTAGAAATTTAGCTTGCTGTGCGAATATTTTGTAGAATGAAAATTAATTACTCGTAACTTTGTTAAGAATTGTAATTTTGAATTTGAATGGATTTGCCGCCGCGACGCTGCCACGAAACAATGGCGCGCGCGACCGCCGTAGGTCAGGTTAGATAGGGAACACGACGCTACCGGCGAATTAATGAGAAAACGTGACAAGCACCGGCACTTGCTTCCGAGCACTCGATAGTTGCGTTTTTCCAAAAATAATTGTAAAAAGTGTTCCGAACGAGAGGACGACCCCTTTGCCGAGACGCTTCCCGTCAACACTTCGTTTCATATAATTTGGTGAGTCGTCAGTAATATTTGGAAAGAATGCATATTCTCGATCTTTCGTTTGTTTTGATTGTCTAAATTTAGATTGTTTCGCGTAGAGAATATGTATTCTTGCTTTCTTTTCAAAATGACGCCACTTTTCGACCTCGTGGTCCTTTTCTTTGCGACAATTTTCGGTTTTGTCAATTAATGTTCAATTTAAAGTCTAATTATAAAGGCTTCATTGCGAATCTCTGTTTCAATTTTGTGATTTTACCATGCATTTCGACGAGTTTGTAAAATTTCGTAGTGCCTCGCGTTTTTCTCCCGTTATCATTTTCGTGAAAGAATAAATTCAAAATGTCGTGAAATAGTAAATTGGATTAGGATATCTAGTGTGATAAATGAGTGAATTTAAATTGAGTTAGTTATAGTTAATTTTAGATTATTTTGCGTATGATTTAAATTTTGTCGAGTAGCAGAGAATTTTTTTTTGTTTTGAAATTAAAATTTAGTCGATTTCTTATGAAGTATCTTTTATTAATTTTGTAATTTCTATCAATTTCGATATAATGTCGCGTATCAAAATTTGAAGATTTTATTTATGTTTTATTTGTCACAATATTTCTTGGAAAATCACGATGAATAGTCGAATAAATTTAGTTGGTAGTTATAGAATGTTTTTTTTATTTGTTGAAAATACTCTCTCAAAAACCCTAACCCAAATGTTCTTTATGATTTGCTAGTCGAATTATGATGTTGTAAATTTATTCCGGTAAACAATTTTCAAGCCTAATTCTGTAGATAATTAGTTATGAGTTTTATAGAATCTTGATTGACTATGATTTGGTTAATGTTAAATTTGATTTGAATTGTGATTATTGTCAGTGGATTAACCTGGTGGTCTCGTTCCATTGAAATAATGTTTTAAATATTGTTTTGCGAAGATTTTGATGCTGACGTGGTTCACCCGTGAACCTGGCGCTCAACACCCTTTTGATTTAGTCTTTTTTTGGCTTGAATTTTGTTCCGAAGGTGATCGCTAAAAATCTTATGGCAGAAAGATAGCGATATTATTTTGATTTTGCTTTTGGTCAATGAAATTGTTATACTAGTCTAAAATAATTTTATTTTGCCATTGTGAAATTAAAATATCTCACAGAAGAGACTCGACAAGGAAAAGTTCGGCCGGTCCCTAAGAGAAGCCCTTTTAATTGAGGACTTGGGCTGGGTGAAGAGGCCGAGCTGTCTGGATGCGGAGGTGCGAGCGGTGAGGAACATGATAGTCACCGCTTGCAATGCGTCAATGCCACGCAAAGGCGCTACTCCCGTAAGAAAATCCTTGCACTGGTGGTCAGAGGAGCTAGCCTCCTTGAGAAAGGAATGCCTCAAAGCAAGAAGGACATATACCCGATCTAAGGGAGATCCCTTGCTGAAAGAGGCTTTCAAGGAGGCGAAAAAGAACCTCAAGAAAGAGATCCGGAAGTCGCGACGCCATAGCTGGAAGGACCTAATCGAGGAAGTCGATAAGGACCCATGGGGCCTGGCTTTTTAAATCGTAACTAAGAAATTAGTGACGAGGCAAAAGACCCCCGGCCTGGACAATCCCGATTGGGTCAGAAAGATAATAAGTTCTTTGTTTCCTCCTGCGGAGCCATACCTTAGAAGGGACTGGAGTTTTTGCAAAGTCGA